GGGGGGGGAGGGGGGGGGTCGTCCAAGTTGTCGACCTGCGCCGATCTCGTCACCTTTGCCTTGGGAGAGCAGCCCCAACCGCACCTCGACGTCGCATCGCCTTGGGTCGTCGACAGCCTGGTCCCACCACCACACGAGGCCACCTCCGAGTCGGCCTCGGAGTAGCAAGCGTCAGGCACCCTCCCCGCCGCCCGTTCCGGCTTTTCTTGAATTAATTCAACGTTCAACTCAATTAATGTCCGCGGCCCTCCCCCTGCCGGCCAAGTACCTGCCTCCCTCATCCCCCACACCCCACACCCGCCCATCAGCCCTATCGTACCCACCCATATCAATTCTAAAGCCCAATTTCCATACCCATTATCCTTTCGCCCGCCACGCCATCCACGTCACGACCCCCCCTCATCCCCCCCTAGCATACCCATCACGCCCCATCACCCCAACCACCACCCTCACCCCCTACTGCACCACATTCACTATCATTGCAGCCACAACCACCCACCTCCATGCCTTGGCTATACCCACCACCATCCCATCGCGCTCACCGCTTTCTCTTCCTCCTCAACCTCCTCCTCTCCTCGCTCTACCTCATCCCCATCCTCATCCCCGACATCGACACCGACATCCGTCAACCATCACATGCCATACTTCCTGTCCACCTACGAACAGCAGTCGCAAGCCACCCAGCCCCGACCCAGCCCCCTCTGCTGCCCCTGCCTCGCCGTCCACCAGCCGCCAGCCGCCGCCCACTCGCCCGATCAGCCCACCTTCATCACCACCTAGCTCCCTCCCATTACCAGCTACGCAACTCGCGACCACACCCAAGGTCATCACTCACCCCACACTAGCACCAGTATCAATATCGTCGTCATCGATACCCATCGACCTCGGCTCATCGACCTGAACGTCACCCGCCTTCACCCCATTTCCTGCCAGCCTCTACCGGCACCCGTTTCTTAGTCATACATGTGCTGTGCATGCTTTGTATGTCCTCTGGTTGCTGTTGTGGCCGATATCGCCGCGTTTGATGCCCGTTCCTGCATCCCTTCAATTAATTCAACGTTCAACTCGATTATTGTCCGCCCTCCTCTCCCTCGCCGTCCAAGCACCTGCCTTCCTCATCTCTCACACCCCACACTGACCCATCGTCGCCATCCTATTCATTCACATCGATCCTTAATCCCATGCCCCATACCCGCCCACCTCCAAGGCCGACCGCCACACCGATGAAAACTGACCCATTTATTCCCGCGTGCACAGCGTCGTCGACCTCACTCCAGCTTGATCAGCGCCCCGCCCACTCCCGGATGGTACACGTTGGCGTAGAGGGCTCCATCTGGCGCCACTGCCACTGTGTTGGTAAACGAGTAGCCGGAGCCGTAGTTGATGGTCCACAGCACGTCGCCGGTCGCACAGCTCCGCGCCACCACCGAGTTGGCCTCCATCAGGTACAACGTCCCGTCCGTCACAACTGTGGCCTGTGGCGGGCACTCTGTGGAGCAGCCCTGCTGCCAGATCGGCTTCTTTGGCCGCCGCACGCTTGTATCCCACGCCGTGATCTCGTTCTCGTCGTTGACATACACCACCGTCCCGTCCGGGCACACCGTCGGCGCAAAGATGCCGCCCGTCGACGGTGCCGCCATGATCTTCCACCGGATCCGTCCGTCGTCCGTGTACGAGTATGCGTACTGCGTCGAGCCCGGGACGTGCACCACTCCGCGCGCCGCATCCAGCGCAAGCATTCGATACGTGAACGCGTCCTGCATCGTCTGATTCCACATCACGCTCTCGCCGCGAAGCGAGTACTTGCCCAGCCCGGTGCACTTCATGTACTGCCCGTACGACCTGCCACACTCGGGCTGCACGTCGTTCACATACTGCCCGATGAGCGTTTGGTCGCTCGGATCGACCACAAACGGCGCAAAGACCCGATCCTGCGGAGTGAGGTACGTCGTCGCCGCCACCACCGCCCCGCTGGCGCCGTCGAGCACCGTCAGCACCGCTCCGATCCCGCTCGCCACCTGGGTATCCTTGACCCAGACCACCACCAGTTCCAGCCCGGTCTCAGCCTCGTGGACCACCGCCGGCAGCGAAAGGAACACACCCCACGACGTTGGATCGCCGCCCTGGTACAGCTTGTGTCGCCACAGGACTTCTCCGGACCCGCCATCGATGGCCACCATCTCCTGCGCCGCACCGCGCGGCTTCCGCATCACCACCACCGCATTGCCTGTCGACGCGTTGCCGTTGGCGACCATCGTCAGCTGGCCAAACGGGTTGTCCTTGAACCCAGTGTTCTCGCACGGATCGCCGGAAAGTCGGGCGGCGTGCCGACGCACGCCTCAAAGACCTCGCTCCCGGTAGCCATGTCGATGCCGTAGATAAAGCCATCCGCCGAGGTCGTATATGCCATTCCTCCTGCGGCATCCACCACAGGCACATGCACAAACGAGTGCCCGTTCACGTTGTTGTACGCCCACGTCATGTTCGGCTGCTGGCGGTGCGACGGGGCAGAAATGAATCCGCTCCGCTGCGCATTGCCGCCCACATACGGATACCCGCAACACACCGTCGCCATAGCCACCACCGCAACAGCAACTGCAACCGCAGCATGTGGGGCTCCCAGACATGTTCCTGCCATACCCATTGTATTGGTTCTGCTTCGAGTCATGTGTGCTCCACTCCGTGCCGTCCCGGTGCTGCAGCTTCCGCGTGGGCGTGCTTCCTTCCATTCGACACGTCCACAGACACACACAGTTTTAGCTCTCCAACATCCTCGCAACCATGGCACTGCTCGCAGCGGGTGCCGATGTATGGGATATCGGTGCCTACGGTGAGGCGGTGTTCTCGATTGCGTCGGCTGCGACGCCAACGCAGCTGTGAAAGACGTTTAGAACCTCATCGTCAACGGCGCCAGTTCCGAGCCAGCGGCCTCCCACTTCCGCGAGACCATCGCTGCCGGCAACGACATTGGCGGTAGTGCTGGCGCCTCTACTGTAACCGCCACTCGCGTGGACAAACTCGAGGCTGAGGTCGCCGACGCCAAGGCCGACGTCGACAAGGCCATCGCCGCCTTACAGCCACCCCGCTAGTCCTACGGCGCAAAGCTCTCCTCATCATACTTGGTGTGCGGCAGCTCCCGTATCCGCCGGGTCTCTGTCTCCATCATGCCGTTGCATATGGTACACGGACACATCCGCGGTGACTGTGGTGTCAAAGGGGTGGTTGTCCTCGCCAATAAGCTCGTGAATGATGCACATGTAGTCGCGCTCGGCGGCCGAGAACTTGGTCACGTCGCCGTCGATGATGTCGTGCGCCCCATAGGGTCAGTCCCCCCCCCCCCCCCCCCGTCGTCACTCTACCATGGTAGTTTCCACCGCATCGGCGTCGTACGCCGTCTCGCGCACGCCTCGGCCATGCTCTCCTCGGCTCGTCACCGCGACGGCAACCCGGGCCGCACATCCCTGTTCGGGCCATCTGTCGCAGCTTGTGTCGCTTCGTGTCCCGCGCCCTGCTCTCATGCGTGGGACGTGTGGCTCGAGCTAACATCCTCTTTGCGCAGACTCACACTGCCCGAGAGGACAACGAATGCTCCCGAAGGAGTTGGACGATGTTGCTGTGACCTCCATTTGAGGCCAAATGAGCGGCCGTCTCGCGATCCTCATTCACGAGCTCTGGATCTGCACCTGCGGCAAGAAGGAACATGACGGCTTTCACGTGTCCGTTTTGGGCGGCACCCATGAGCGGTGTCCAAAGGTCATTCGAGGTCAAGTTGACGTCAACTCCGCCCTCCACGAGCCGACCAAGTTCCTCAACATCCCCGCGATACGAAGCGTAATGGATGGCGTATCCATACGTTCCTTCCGGTGTTGGTGACCGTTGTGTGGTCCTCGGCGTGTCTCCGGTATCCATAGTCTCTGTCGAATGCCCGCTGTACCGCTCCGCCAGTGAAAGGGGTTCGGTGTACAGGTGTATCACGTGTCCTGTGCCTCGTGTTTGTGGTGTTGCCTTTGCTGTAGGTGGTGTAGAGTCGCGTGGTGCGTGCCTCGCTGCCGTCAATGCGGCCTACATCTCACATATTCGAGCGGTGCAGTCCGGTGGCACCGCCTCGCCGCAGCGTCGACGCCGCGCCCGTAATGGTGCCGCATCGGCGACGACGCAGAGTTGGTGGCCGTTGTGTGGTCCTCAGCCTGTCTCCGGCATCCATGGACCCAGCCGAGTCGGCCGATCGCGCCAATCACGCTGCCCTCTCCGTCTACCTCCTCGCTGTCCTCCGCAGCGTCCCTCCTGTCTTCTCTCGAGCACAACCCGTCCCCTAACCCCACCGCTCCGCAACCATCTTCACTGTGACACATACACAGCAATCTTCTCCTGCTCCATCAGCTCCGGGATGTCACCGTCGTCCACCATGACAATGATGTCTCCGTCCTCATCCTTGTACGCGAGCTGAAGGCCCGACATCCCGTAACGCGCCTCCACACCCTCCAGCAGCTCACCAAACGAGAACGGCGCCATAAGAACGACCTTGCGTACGTCGTCGCCAAAGTAGAGCTTGATTTTGGTCCGCACGCCGCCGCCACCTCCACCGCTCTCCGGCGCGGCCGGCCCACCGCCAGCCGCCGCCTTTTCCGCCGCCAACGCAGCCTTCCAAGGCGGTTCCGATCGGCCTCCGCCGCCTCCTCCGCCGCGCGACCACGTCGGCTCCGGCTCGGGCTCGTAGTACTCGGGCTCAGGCTCGGGCTGAGGCTCGGGCTCAGGCTCGGGCTCGGGCGCCTGCTCGCCAAGTGTAACTTCGCTCCGGCGCTGCCACGGCGCGGCTTGCCCGTCGGTCCGAGCCGCATGCTTGACCACCATCTGCGGCTCGGGCGCCTTGGGTGCGGCAGCGGGTGCGTCAACGTTGCGGTCGCGGCGGAGCCACGGCGGGTCTGACCGCGACTTTGGCGCTGCCCGTGCCGGCGGCTTCTCAACCTTGCGCTCTGGCGCGGGCGCTGGTGCCGGAGGAGGAGCCTGTCGGTTCGGGACAGGCGCTGTCGGCATCGGCCGCGGCGCGCCGCGCGGGCGGCCTCCCGAGTCGCGCCGCCACTTGCTCTCCGTCGCCGGCGCTGCCCGGCCACTTCCTGCTGAGCCCGGCGGGCTCGCCTTGGACTCGGCATAGGCCTGCGCCTGTGGCGCGTAGCGCGCGACAGCGGCATTCGACTCGGCCGCCGCCTTGGAGCCCTGGCGGTGGCGGCGGCGGCGCCCTTGGAGCCCGCACGAACCGAAAGAAGTGAGCCGCGACCCGAGCCGCGTCCCAAAC